ACACAAATTAGGACAGAACTGTTTCTGGCAATTTCTAAAAACCTTAGATTTCAAGTTTGTTGTTATTTTCAGTGGTAGTCAACAAGCCTGCAACAGAAAGGTCGAAAGAAAAAGCAGCAGCAGAAGAGGTCTGCTATCCCTTCAGGGACACAGAGGGACAAGTCCTTCATGACCCTCAAGGACACATCTTTGAGGTCACATCTGTCAGTTTTAATAAAGAAGCTGGCATAAGCCTGTGGGGATATTAGGTCTTTTTTGTGGCATTTGAAATCTCTGAACTGGTTTGGAACCAGTTCAGTGGTGTGCCTTGAGACTTGAGTCAAAGGAGCAGAAGTATGTCTTTTTCCGAGAGTGGTATTTACAGAAATACTCTTGTATTTGCACTGCTTGTTAAGCCACAGAGCTCCTGAAGAAAAGTCACTATTTTGTCAGTCATAGCTGAACAGGAAGTCGAGCATATCCTCCTTCTACCTCCATGCAAAAGCTGGGCTGATGAGCTGACTAATATGACCCTGGAGAACTGTACGTTACTCCTCCCTAAATGTTTATGATTTGAGCATATGAAAAGCAGAGAATAAGCTTGCTCACAGGTATATCACAAAGGCCAAAATTTATCCAGTCTTAAATAGGAGGATATATGCTCGCCCACTTTGTAAATGTCCACCTGGACTATCTTTGTTGGGACAGTCTTACTTTGTTCTTTCTTGTATAGCCTGCACAACCAGAGACTCAGATACGTGCTGCAGGTTTGAATAGGCCATCGCCCACGGCATAGGATTTTTAAGCACTAAATGTCATTGTAGAGTCTCAAAGAGATATATAAAAGTCCATCCTGCATTATATTTATTCTTAGAAAACTACATATTCATTCACCTGGTAGGCAAGTTCCAGGTCACACCAAGGAAGATAAAACTACCATAAACTGAATTAAATGTTTGAAAATGCAGTTCCTTCTCTGTGCTCTGTCATCTCTTCAGGGTTCAAGCAGAAGAGCTGCTTGGGGAAGTAAATCTACTTCACAGAGGAGGGAATGGAAAGAAAACAATCTCTAAACAGTACAAAACTTACAAATATTAACCCAACACAGCAGTTGCAGTAACTATGATCATGACTGATTTTAAACAGCTGAGTTATAAAGTCCATTTGCATACCCTTTCTCCTGCCACACAGTATTTCTTACGATTAAGCATAAGACACTTATTCTGATTTCTAAGCTTTTTCAAAAGCAGAGGGCATTTTTTCCTCTGAAGAAAGTCAATGCTGCTTATCCAAAAGAGGAGGAAAATTGTGTTTGGAGTCTTCGCAAATACTAGCTGAACAAATCAGCACAGCCACACACGAAAAACATAAATAAATAAATAATAATAATAAAAAATCTTTGTTCTTCCTCTATCACAGGTCAGTTATCACGTAGTGTGTGGGGAGCTGCCAAAAACCACTGCTATGTTCAGACACTACAACTTGCATTTTATTTGCCTGCAGCTGCACTGCACAATGAAAGGAGTGTTACCCTCCCCTCCCCAAGACAAAACATGATCTCCGCCCAGAGCAAGGGGTGATTGATTCACTGCTTGCTTTTTCGTTCTTTCAGAGTAAATGTTATTTATCTTTTGTCCAAATGTTATTTCTCTAAAATGCTTTGATTGCAAAGAATTGATTTTATTTTTAATTCCTTTTTATCCTGATCTACCAGCAGAGATAGACAGATGTGATAAAGAGAATAATGAAGCACAATTTAATGTTTTTCAAATTTCAAATTTGCCCAGCATGGCCCCTTGCCTGCAGTTCTAACAACTTCAAATGAGACTTTAATGCAAAATTTATTTTCAATGAAATGAGAAGAAAATCCTGAAGCTTTGTAGAACTCAGTTTTTGCATCAAATTTTCAGCCATAATGCTGAAACACAGTTCTGTAGTGTCCAAATTTTTAGTATTTGCCCTATTTCTATTTTCTCAAATAAAGGTGCTACTAATCAGCATCACTGCAGGAGTTTTGAACTGGGAAGATTCCAAAATTTAAAATGTGACGCATGTGATTTCTTCAGCAACCTGGAAAGTGTATTTTGGTGCCTACTGGATATCAGTAGTGGTGCCAATTGTCATGTTAATTTTTCAGATCTTTTTTGTTCATGATCTTTGTCTTTTATTTGCCCTCTAGTTGACCAGTAAACTTCCATTACTTTCTTTGGCTGGGATTTTAGGATGACCAGAACCTACAGGTTCTAGTTCACCACCTTTAATCCATACAAAAATATTAACAGTTCATAAAACAAACTACGCAGTGGCCTGTGTCAATGAATTCAAACAGAGACCCAATAGTAAAGGGTGGATTTTAAATAATTCTTGTTTCAGCATCAGAAGTTGCAGAAATTTACTATAGCTCAGTTTTCAGCACAACACAAAAAACTTTTTCAATTAGAATATACAGATGAAAACCTGATCTGTCTGAACACACCAGTTATAATCAAAGGGAGGGATAAAAAGACTGTTGTGCATGAAGGCAAAAGTTTAAGGGCAGTATATTTGTTTTAAATGACAGTAAAATTCTGAACTGTCCTGGAAGGTCTGAAAGACAGCAGTTGGACAAAGCAGAAAACTCTAGAGATGCAAAAAAAGAAGTAGTAAATCACAGTTTACAAGCTTTAGGAGAAAAACATTTACGTGAGAGGAGCTACAGGCTTCTAAAGTTCAAGGCAGAGGGCAGAAATAGCTACCTGTACAATCAAAAAAGGACAGGCGTATGTTTCAAATAGAACTTTTCTCTTGCACCTGAAACACACGTTAGCTCAGAACATCAAAGTTCTCATGACTTCCACAGATAAAATGAGACCTGAACTTCCTTCGGTGTTTTCCCAATCTGTGCTTTTCAGTGGAAAAATGCTAAAGAGAAAAAGAAAATGCAAAGCTCCATCTACAGAAAATCCCAAACTGAGGTTTACATTCTAGGTCTGGAAAACCTAATAAAAAATTCAGTTAAACACATCAATCACAAAACTTTAATCGACTGAATTTGTGCTCATTTACCCTAGGCTATAAAAAAAAAAAAAATCCATATTGAACCACAAACCTCAGATAAAAGTATTTTCAGCTGGATTCTCCATAAAAATATTCTACACTTGCTAACTACAGAAACTGAAAAAAAAAATAAAAAAAAAATCTTTGGATTTAAACCCCTCACAATTTCTCTGTTCATGCTAAAAGAACTGGTTCCAAGAACTTCAAGGCTGAAGCATATTCAAATCTCTGCATGTGACTCTAGTTAGCAGTAGGAAATACATATTTTTATAGAGATATGTTGCATATTGTTGTTTATGAAGCTCAGAGACAGGTTTACAAAACAATTCAAACTGCAGTTTATTATGGTAGTGTTATCCTCTGTTGAGCTATCTAGCAGAACAAGTCTTCAAAACCTTTACGTCTAAAAGCAGGGGCCCTTATTTTCTAATTTGAAGTAACAAGGTGCTTTTACTTGAAAGCAGAAGCAAACAAACCTCAAAAAATAGGCTTGCCACATGAAGAGACAAGATCAAACTGTCTTAATATGGCTTGCAGGAGTCTCAAGAAAACAAGTATGAAAAATGAGTAAAAGGAAAACCTTTAGCACTGCCTGTAAATGAAGCAATGAAAGATCATTCCAAAGGGTTAAGTAGAGCAAATGAGAAAATGTGAAAAAACAGTGTAAAAGTAAATGGAAGTAAACCAAACTCACTGACATTTAACATTTACACAAATGTCAGATTCCCCACTTCGTGGTTAAACACGGCTGGGGATCTCAATCAATGTTTGGAGTGTGCATGACCAATTTGGAAACCAGAAAGAAAGCATACCACAAAAATTAGAAATCTGTAAGTGTTTCTAAAAAGATGAATAGTCAAAAAATGAGACTATGAGGCCTTGGAATTAGGGCTGTTCTGAAATTATTAATGACTTATTTATGGCTAAACTGTACGCCTGAACTTCCATTCCTGCATGATGTCTGCTGTAACAGAACATGACCTAAACCCTCATGATTCATAGCTATATACTAGAAGAAAAGGCATTGGCCAGGTGTCAGAAATTAACCAATATTCTGAACTATTAAAATCACACGAATTCCACAGAATTGCTTAAGGGTCTAGGGAGAAAAAAAAAAACCAGAAAACCAAACAAAACAAACAAGCCATAGCACATTCACAGCTTAATACACTGAATACAAACTCCAAGAGCAGCTTCTCTAAAGATACAGAGGAAAAAATACTCTTACAATGAAAAGTGACTGTGATATGTGCACTTCTCTCTTCTTACCATGTATAGCAGCAATTTGAGGTATATTGAGTGCAATTTGCCCATGATCAACCATAATGACATTCACTGCTCTAGGACTCAATACCCTTCGGGAAACCTCTCTAATTTCTCTGTCAGAGTCTACTTTTTCTTATCCAGGCCTCCCCCATTTCACTGATAAGGTCTACATTTTCTTACCCAGAAAAATATGCAGGATAGTCTGAACCCTGGTTATCCTATGCTAGCACTTCCCAAGAAATATTAAGTACGATAAAACAGCATTTCTAATGAAAGTTATATGAAGGTCTTCCTGAATTTTCTCAGTAAGTTAGAGGAATCATCCTAATTGCTTCTACTGATGCAGCTCCTCATTCGTTCACTCACTCACATACTGAAGTCAGTCACCCAATTCCCCAGGCTTCAACTCAGTGTAGCTTTGTTAAGATGGTGGGTATGAAAGGATTGATTTTTTCAGATTATGTGCCCTCCTCATTGCTAATAATTAAATGGAAGCAGAAGCAGCACATACAACCACTGAAAGGCAACAACCTGTGGTTTGAATTCTGTCTATTTTTTCCTTCAAAACCTCAAACCGAAACTCAGCATTCACCATCTTCCCATTTCATGAATGGGCTCAATCACTAAAATCCAAAATATAAATTCTAGTTCAGACTTTCTGACACTTAAACATTGAAACGCATCAGGTGTGTATCTGACTTAGACCTCTACAATCTTACCTTCTTCTGAAGAACATTAACTTTGCGTTCCTTCACCTCTAACATGTCCTTGAGGTCATGGATCTCTCCTGCTTGAGTCCCCTTCTCCTCTGCCATCTCCTGAATCTGCTTTGTCTTCTTGTTGAGCATAGTCTCCTTCTCTTCCAGTCGTAATCGCAATGCATCCACCTAGGTTCAGACATGCAGAAACACAGTTTGTTTAGCACTGAAGGACAGAAATTTTAGAAAAGTTACAAAATCCACATCCACAAGGGAGTGAGTGCTGTCAAGTTACAATTCCATCCAGAAAACTAACCTCCCTTTCTTTAAGACTTCAAAGTACATAAGCTTATGGATGAAACAGTTATGACAAGTGGCACGAGACTAAACAGTAAAAATAAGCAAGTGTTTTATTCCCAAAATATAAGAGGCTAATGCTCCATGATTCTATGATTCCTTCTTGGAAAAACCTCAAAATACTTCTGGCATAACTCAGTCCTGTAAGATACATGTCTGGATTGTTTTTCCTCAAAGTAGAATCAAATACAATGTGTTGTTGAGGAGTTCTCTCTTATGTAGGAAAACTGACCCCTTTTTTCACAATGTTCAGATATTGAAACATTGGCTCTTAGTACCAAACAGTCACTCTATATTCTAGGTTTTAATCACGAGTATTAGCTGAGCCTGGGGGCAATGAAAGCAGAGGTCTTTGCAGCCACTGCGGATCAAAACACGGAAAGAGCGGATATTCTTAGGATAGCTAATATTATTTTGGCTTAAATAGCGACATAATAGTTTAAATATAATATGTATTTTCAGCAGGATGCAATTTTATATTAAAGACAAAATTGAACAAGTAACACTGTACAGGATATTGCAGGTGCAATTCGGAAACATAAGAATATTTAGAGCGCACAGGGCCCCAGTAAATTTAGAAACACAACCTGGGAATTCTATGGCATCCTCAAACTTCAAAACTGTATGTTGAGAAGACTTTTCCTTTTGCATTTCCCTTACACAAATGAAACACAGAGCTTGCAAGACAAAAGAAATGGGAGAAGGAATCATAGTTATCTGAATATAAATTTGATGAGAAGAATAAGCTCACCACAGAGCACAGACTAATCTCAAAGACCTTTGTGGAATACGAAATCCAACACCATCAACCTGCTCGAGATACCAAAAGAAACCCACTGACCCCTATCCACTCAGCATTCAGACAGAGCTCAAATCTGCCAGCTTGGCTGCTAATCTTATTTGACGGTATCAGATTTGGTTCCTGTTAGCTGAATCCATTACAGGACATCAGTCACACAAAGTAAACAGGGTGATCAATGAATTTCTTGGTCCTTCTGCACAGCATTGGCTGATAGGCCAGCAGAGACATGAGGTGAAAAGATGACTTGGACAACTCAAGCTAGGGAAAGAACTTGGGTAGTCAGTATGCTTCCCGTTTTAATGTGTTGTTCTAATGCCATTTTATTTTGATTTGCTAATGGAAAAGTTGCCTCTAAGGCTCTACATTTACAGTATGCTACACCTTCAAAATCTTTTGCTCTGTTCTCTGACTCCTCTTACACAGAGCAATAAGCACTTGCCAGTGGGGAAAAGAACTGTCCTGCTCTCCCCATCAGCACTGCAATCTCACTGCCACCTTTACATTTGGAGCCTTCTCACTTACACATACGTTATTAAAATCGCATTCCTGACCTTTCACCCAGCAAGTGGGGCATGGAGTATATTTTGCAGTGATATTAGAGTACCAGGTACTACCCAAATATGATTTATAGGCTTGCTAGTGTTTGTAATGAAAAGCTTAGCAGGTGCATCACGGCTTGCCTTCTTCTGAAAAACATAGTTTTATAGATTGATTAGGTATGTTCTTCTCTTGATATCTCTAATATTAAAGCTAAGAGCCACTTTTATTAATTCTTGAAGGGAAACTGAAAATCTCCCTCACAAGAAAATCCACACGCTCTCAACAGTTGGGTTGCAAAATATCTGAGACAGTCCAGATGCCTGAAGCACAGTATTAAGTGAAAAGAGAACATCTGCAAACAGAAATTTATCCACAGAATGCTTTTCATTTTCTGATTGATTATTCTCTTTGAACTCTATATTAACTTACGGTTTGGGGTAAATTGCATTCCTGGTTCTATTTGTGTGAGGTCTCTGCCTAGGAAACCACAGAAAACACTTTCAAGAGTACTTTCAAAGGCTGGCAGGACACACAGTCATCACCTTAGCACTATTCCTGGCAGAACACTGCACTTGTTTATTCATGTCAGCTCAGTTTATGTATGGCATCCTCCCACAGTGACAAGAATTGAGGTCTGTGGGAGTCAGGTGATGCCAACTTCAACAAAGTCAGCTTAAGATTTTCTCTGCACATTGAAATGACTAGGCAAACAGCTACTGAGGTGCTGACGCCCCTTCTCCTGACTTCTGCGTCTTGGATGGTGTTGTCTTAACCCTGGATTAACCTAACTGCTTTCATAGTAATAGACTGCCATGCCTTTAATTATGCATGGCAAGTAAACCTTACAGTACAGCTCAGCCCTTCATGTAACAGGCTTGCAAACTTGATATGCACATACCATCCAATTTCCAATGAAGCTTCAGCAAAATAAGTGCATTTCAATTAAACAGCCAACAGGTACCTCTCTTCAGCTGGGTACCATACCTAAGACTTAAACTTCTTCACTGTAAGAATGATGTATGGAAAACTGTTTGGAATCATTGATCAGGTGTCACAGAACATTCCAGTAGCAGTAAATGATACTCTGTGACTCTGTTCCTAATTATGTACAGACATGTATTAAGCAAGTATGATTTCAAATTTCTAAGAAAAACTAGTACATTAGTAGCTCCAATAACTACCAGAATAAACACAAGAATGACATAATATTTAATTCAAAAATAAATTTAAATTTAACCCCTTTTCTAAAGTCTTGGATTCTGTACTTACAGTCTTTTGGAATATTCCCAACTTACAGCTTAGGGAAATCACTAAAGTTTTCAAAAGTCCATAGTCAGTTTCACAACAGATGAAGGAGCTTGAGTCAATAGGACTTAGGTTGCACACATTTCCCATTTTACCATCATCTCTGCTTTACAGTAGCAATTGGGGGTATTATGACACTGGTGATTTCCACTTGGGTTTAAGAAGATGTCACTGATGCCTAGAAAAAACTCTTTTCCTGAGACTGAGTGATCCTTCCCATCTACCTGCCACCTGTTCAAACCATTGCTGAACTCTTGGTTTAGATCAGTGAACCAAGCCATGCTCCATTCAGTTATATCAGAAGGTGCAGTCTCTCCTATGTTATATACAAGCCCCGATTTCTCTGTTGCGACAAAAATCTAGATTTTTATGTTGTGTTGGTATGACTACATCAATGGCAGCAAAAGGAACAGAGAGAATATCACTTGTGAAATATTTGCTTAGAGCTTGCTATGGCTTCTAAAAAGAGCCAGCTACTTTTTAAAGTAGATATTGAAGTAATTCTATGTCAGGACTCAGAATTTAAATATAACCAAGAAGTGCACAGAGGAAGGCATAAAATTATATTTGGTATACAAGGTAAAAGTTGCTTTTTTCAAGCTGTAGATACTGTCATGTGAAGTCTCCAAGTACTTCAAATGAGCACATTTTAAAAAGGATCAGTTTTGTGATACTCTATTACTATCTTGCAAATGTATCATATAAACACAAAAAAGAGTTAACCTGTTTTCCTGATAGCACAGTCTAAAATTAAGAAATAAAAGCTATGTTTATGGATTCATTTTGAATGCAGTGGTAGTTCACAATACTTCATTCTCTATTTTTGGCATTGATCTTTCTTATTAATTATGTTAGAGTTGACTCATAACCTTCTTATAAAAATTGCAGCAATATCCACTATGGTCCATTGAAGAGAGTGAATTCTTTATGAACATACAGCACCCAGTTATCTGGATTATTTAGATTACATGACTATGCCAATGAGCAGAGGTGCACAAACCCGGCTTTCTGCAGAGGCTATTTGGTTCTTGCTAGGGTTATAAACTCAAGCAGGACAGACATACTGCTTCCAGACCCTGCTCAGGTCAGAAATCAGTTCTACTGTTCTTCCAGAATCCCTAGCACAAGGTGTTAAATACCTAAACGTGGTGAACTCAGTTTTGTGAGCTGAGCTTAATGTTTGCAGGTGTCAGCATAGATCTACATGTAGCTGGTGCTAACAAATCTTCTTAGCACATTCCTTACTAAAGGTGATCCACTCCTTAACTGTCTCAGATTTGGGAGAGTCTACTATAGTTGCAAAATGCCAGTAAAAGCTGCAATAAGGAAAGACCCTTACAGAATTTTATGTTCTGCTGAGACATTAAGAACAAGTAAAATGTTTCCAGGGGACTGGATTCATTTTTGTACCAAGTATTAATCTGAATTTACCATATGAACGGACCACTTACAGAACCATGCCAGCTTGGGCAGTATACAGAAACAAATGGGAATGTTGTCACTGATTAATTTAACCTCCCACTGAAGTCACATACCTTCTGGCACTGACCTAAGCTAAAGTACTCACTGGGCAAAATACAAACTTTATACGGATGAAGTCTTCATTCCAAAGTAACTATTGACTTATTTTTTGTTTTGTTTACATAAGGATTGTACATTTTTTGAGCTATTTTTAAAGATTTCTTCACAAATTGAAAAGTTAACCACAATATCCTCTCCACCCAATAGCCCTCTCGATAAACACCCCAACAAACAGCTCACTGTTCTTTATAGTTCTAGTGTGGCAGGTTGCAAACCAATCTTTGAGATGTTCTACCAACATCTTTTCCCCACCGACCTATGTTTTACTTAACAGAAGACTAAAGGGCGGAAGCTTGCGAAGGTACTCTCTTTCCTCTCAAAATATTTAGTATGATTTTAAAATACCAATCCCCTATGAAGATGTCTGCCAATATATGACAGAAAATGCACCTCTCTTCTTCCTCACAACCCTCTGTAGGTGTCTTGAGAGAAGCTAGTCATGTTTTAACACTGACAAGTGCTGTCAACAAGCAAGGCCAGGCAGTCTTACATTCCTACCTTACTCTCAGTGAGAATTCTTCTACAGAGAAATACCATGTCCTTAAAAAAACCCCAAATTCATCATAGGATGCAACAATAAACATCCCAACTCTGTATTTTATCAATGTGTTTCAATCTTAAACTTGAGAGGATCAATTATGAAGACACAGGAAACTGTATAATGATTTAGTTGTTGAGCTTTCTGTCAAGAACATCACTGAGGATGAAAAAGAGGGGATAATACTTCAAAAAGTATAAATATCTTCTTGGAATTACATAAACATTCTCAGGAACATAAATGGAACATAAATAGCCAGATAATCAACAGCACTTTGTATGTGTTAAATTCATACCAGATTGCTACATCTTACTGTGGAGAACATGTTAGGACTCTCATAAGACATCATTCTAAGTCAGTATTGTTAATATATTTGTTCCACAGCAAATTCTCACTGAAAGACAGACAGACAGAAAATTATCTTCCACTGTTATTGCAGTTGCTAGATTTCGCTTACGATATCTGAAAGCAAACTATATGAATAACCTAAAACCAGTACGTATTAAATCTAGTGTTTGTCCCACCCCTACATTCCAGCCACTTAATGAACCCAATTCAGTTTTGTATTGTGGCTCTATATGAGAATCTCATTTGGAAGAACGCAGTGAAGTGCAAATATCCTCAATGATTTAGTAATATCACAAGCTAGACAGTAGGAGAATAATGGCTTTCAGCTAAAATAAAATCGAAACATTCTGAATAATTATCAAAGGTATCTCTCAATGATATACAGCCAAGTCTTCTTCTCTTTCAATATTTTGTTTCAATTCCATACATTTTGTTTCAATAAACATGCTTACCTACCACAACAGCTGAGATTACGGCCATCTACTGAAGTCTTTTAACATCCTAATAAAGTACATTACTTCAAGAACTTTATCTCTCATGGGTAGAAAAATACAGCTTTTTATTACTTAGAAGTAAAAAGTGAAATGTGTTTCTAGCTTCATAGAAGCTGCACAGTGATTTAATCTATCTGCATTCTTTTCAATCTTTTAAATCACTGTAACAAATCAAAACATGTAATTTGTATTTTTAAATGTTTATTTACCTAACACCTACCTCCAATGATACTTTGAAATGTAAATATCTTTGAAAATTAGCATGTACAAATCTAGGGTACATTCTGGACTAGCAAAAAAGAAAAGAGATTTAACAAGAAGTTTCTGATTGCAGCCAAGCGCACTTTCACAGTTATACAGACTAATGCCATTTAAATCTTTATATAAATCTGAGAATAATCAGAAAAGCCATCTCAGAATTACCACAAGACATTTACTATGTAATTTGACTTCTGCATCTGGACAAGGCCATGTGCACCCACAGGTTCAATGAATATGGCTAAAGGAAAGCTACGTGAGGGTAAAAGTTCAAATACATTCTCTTACACTTTTGTAATATGGAATCTTTCTACCAGTGTTACCCACAATTCTTCAGTATGCTCATTTAACATCTCCTTTGGCTTTTTACTGTTCTTGCTTTAACAACACAAATATTTTTTGATGCATGACCGCCATCTTTTGGACTTCTACTAATACTACAGTTTTCCAAGCCAGTAGATTGAAACGGTGTCTTCACACGTTTCATTCTTGTTCTTCAGCAATATCCAGAACAACAAACTTATGCTGTACTTATTATCTATTTGATGTTCATATATACACTTACATCTTACATTATTATTTGTTATCAAAACGCAGTTTTGAAAATACTTATTTTTTACCTTAGAATATGCATCATAAAACACAAAAGCCCCTATTTCAGGTGTAAGCACAGGCCTACATGCAAGATTTACCATACATGATGTCTGCAGTAGTGAAGCCTTAGGGAGTTGTATGCTACTGGAACTCTCTTCCTTTCCCTGCTCTCTTTTAGCTATGTTATTGAAAATAAATCCCCCCAGCTCAAGCATTTCAACTTCCAATTTAGCTGTGCCTAGGAAAAGCTGTATTAGTGAGTGCATGTTAGTGGAACATGTCATACAAGTGTGTATTCAATCACAGGAATGTATGCGCTTTTGCATAAATCTCCTGGCCTAGAGAATCTAAACATAAAATTAAAGGTACAACGTGCTCAGAACAAGCAGTACTGAGTGACTATGGGATTGCATAACCTAAGCAAGAAGAAACGAAACAATGCTTTGTTTCTCAGTAAAAGTCATTAAGTGCAGAATTGCCCATTTCACCTCTGTCTGCAGGATGGCAGCTCTTTGCTCTTTAGCTGTGAGGGACTCTTTCAGAACTTCAATATGCTGCTTGCTGTCAGAAAACTGATTTGTGAGGGTCTCCAGCTTTGTCTGCAAGGCCAGCAACTCGGTGTCTTTGCGTGACAGCTCCTGTTTCACCTGACCAATCTGAAAAAGAAAGAAAAGATGGGCAAAGGAAAAAATAATTTATACTTTCCTTAAGAAATAACTATAAACTCACATAACTACTAACAAAGAGTATGATACTCTAAACTTATCACATGGAATTGTGAAGCCTTCAATTATCTTGAATGAAAGGCCAGCAAAAATCTGTGTCATGAGCAAAAGATACAAGGAAAAGAAGAGGGGATCAAAAGCATCAATTTTTCAAGACAGGTTCTTTTAACAGAGACAGTCTGTTTTTAGATATCTTTCAAAGGACTGACCAAAACAACTTACTTAGGAGGGGTAAGTTTTTTATGAAGATGAAGCAGAACTGTAATAAGAAAAATACCCTTACCCTGTGAAACCATAAAAGATGAGATACCTACAGGTCTCTCTCAGAAGCATTCTTGAGGGCAATTTCCTACATTTAATTTAGTGAATTAAATCAGTACCAAAATGCTGATTTATTTTAACAGATATAAGTTGGATTATCGTTTAAAAAGACATGCAGTAAGAAATCTAAAAGTAAAGCACTGAAATGAGATGAAATCTCATTCTGAGTCCCGGGATCAGCCAGGAAAATTTTGATGTCAATCTGAAGAAAAAAAAAAAAAAGATAGATATATATATATATAAAAATAAAGAGGACTGGCAAATCTAAATGTAGACCTATGTCCACATTTATAACCAACTTCCCGGGTTGCCTCTGATGTACCTCACTGATTAAAATACCGATCTCTTTACTTTTACATATTATATAGCAGAGGTGGACATATCTCTAAAATGGAACAGTTTTCCCTTTTTTAGCTTGCACTATTTTGTCCAAAACCCCTCTATCCCCGAAGTATGCTGTCTAGTGTTTCAAAAAAGAAATTAAAGGACAACACAAACTAAAAAAAGCCTGTCCAGGACTACCTCCATTTTGGGGAATTTGTAAAGAACAAAAATAAATTGATATAACCTATAATTTTTATATTTTTTTATTAAATATGTGTATTAGTAGAAATGACTAAGAGGAAAAGCTTGGATAAGTGTGGTTTTATCTTTACAACACTGTTTCAATAAAGGGCAATTAAAGAAATAAATGTTTTTACTGAAGAGTATTAAAATAGCATCAAAAGATGTCATCAAGGACTCCTGTGTTCCAGTGTGAAACAGCATACATGAGGAGACAAGCAAGAAGGAGAGCAGAAGAAGGACATGTGTCTCAAAAAAACCCTCACACAAACCATTTTTTTTTTAATGGAATAATGGGAAGGAGTATAAGAAGAATCTGAATTATAGAGCTATTCAGTAGTTTATTGTTCCCTTAGTTCAAACATACTGGGTTGGGTTTTTCATATTTTTATCTTTCAAAGTATATACGTCCACAGAATGATTTCACCACCTATTTAAACAAAAATACTGATGCTAGCAGCACTATTTCTGCTGTCAGCTACTGGCCAATACAACCTGTTGCACAATCCTGCTAGGCACAGGAGAATAGCTAGGAAGAGATGAACTATTTTCTGCTAGTTATGCTATAGACTAGTCATGATACTTCTGGAGTAGATAAACAAAAAAAGCATCCTTGAAAAACTTCAGATGCCGAAGTTTTTCAACTAGTAGATAACCTGAATTGTAGTAAAGCTTTCTTGAACCAGTTTGGTCTTTCTTTGAAAAGATAAATCCTTTTTGGAGTCATCTCAGACAAGATGTTTACCCTAAATACTTGTGTTTTGGTGAAACGCTGTTATTTAAACACAAACATATTTTGTTACATAGAAATTTCCCAGCAGCACCCTAAGATCATTCTCGCTAGAAATCCCCATTTCAGAGCTGTAAACCCACACTTCCAACGTGCTTAAGTTCTTCAGGAAGAATGCAGGGCATACCATTCCAAGTTGCAAGAGAAGTTAAAACAGCATTAAGTGCTCATACCTCTCTTCTTGGTGAGACACTATGATCAATCGGCAAATGCATTAATTTCACAGCAAAGAAGGTAACCTAAGTTCATGCTGCTAAAATTAAACCACCATTTATAAAAAGCGTTCAGCATCCAGCTTTTGTTACTTTTTTTGTGAAAAAACCCCAACATTAAGAGATTTCAGCACATTTTGAAATTAGTTTTGTTCTAGTAGGGAAAGCAAATTTCTTTGGAAGTCTGGCCCCAAAATGGGTGCTGAATACTTTTGAAAAGAGTAAGTTATTGCTAAAACAGCTCATACTGTTAAGGAAACAGTTAACAAAACAAATACAGATGTTCAGCCGAAGAGTGATGTTATGGACACCAAAACCGTGTGAACAAAAAGGCAGGCTACAAGTCTGAGGAGGCTGTTAGTTCTACTGTTATACCAAGTCATAAAGAAGGTAAGAGAAGAAAAGCTACCCCAAAGCCAGAGAGCTAGCAAGCCCCAGTGAATGGCCACTGCACACAAAAGATAAATCTTACGGCAGAGACCTCGGCCTGGAGACCAGCCACTCTTTTTTTCAGGTCCTCCCCTTGAGCCTCTTTGGCACTTAGCTCTTCCTTCAGTTGTTCTACCTGTCACGACATTGTTATGCTTTTAAATATTCATCATCTGTCAGCTTCTAGTTAGCCTGTGTCAACCCAAGTAACTAAAAGTGACAAAGAACTGAACAGAAGGATCAACACTAGTCACTCATTTTCTCTTCCATTCTTCATTTAGTCTTCTCAATAGTTTAATATCTCTGTAATTTCATATAGGCTGCCAGACAAGAACTTGATTATGAAACAAAGATGTATAGTTATCGTTATGTTTATATACGTCAAGTATGGGGCACTTCACCCAACGCTTTTGAAACTGGAATACACAAGGAACTTCAGACAAGAAAAGGGATTTAAGAGAAATGAAGTTAATTGTCCAGATGCAGGCACAGATGACTATACAATACAATACTTAAAAAACAGATGTTGTGCAATTACAAAACAATGTAGGACAGCAAGATATGACTGCAGCTGGCTGTGAGTCAGGAGTGAATAGTTATCAAAAAGGAGCAAATTTTCTGCTGGAAAATAAATGAGCAGACGGTTGACAGAAGAGATCCAGGAATGGAACAGCTGAACAGAACTGTATGCCCACAGAGGAAGGGAAGAAAAAGTTGAAGAGTTGCTAACAAGGGAAGAAGGAAAGGAGAAAGGATGAAGAAAGAAAGAAGAAAGGATGGAAAGGAGAGGTGCTAAAATTGTCTCTGCATTCATAATTTGAAGAGGGTATGCTTCAATTCCTACAAGCAACTAAGTGGGATAAAGGGTGAAAGCATAAAAGAACAGATCTTGAGATAAATCAGTGAGCTGGCACAAGGGAAGTGGAAGAAACAAATACTTATTACGTTTCTACTTTAAGACAAGTAACACTTCTTGAAGAAACTTTCTCCAGCATTCTTTTTTTGACAATTTCAAGCAGGACAAATGCAGTAGCTTACAGTTCTTCAGTTCCTAGTAATTTTCAGCCTCTGATCCAGGCATTTGTACACTGCTTGCAGGGAGCACACAAAACCTAATTGAGAAAAGCAAGACTGCTCACAATATACTTAAATTTACTGTACATGGTGGCCTGAATCTTCATTAGAAAATGTTAGGGTCTACTAAAAGACTGAGAAACACTTCTCTGGGAGAAACAAAGAATGAATTCACTTTTGCCTGTAAATGTCAAAGTAGTCAAGTGTCCATCTTTATACCTGGTAATCATTTCTCTACTGAATTTGTCCTGCATAAATTAATGCTGGCACTACCACTGTTGTAGAATTCTTGTTCCACTACTGGAAGGAGAGTGTAATGGAAAGCCATTATAGTGACAGTCATGCTCCTTTCAGCCTTCACATAATAAAAAGACTACATTTGAACAGACCAAACAAAAGCTAAAATTATAACGGATTAGCTATGTTCTAAAGATACTCAAAACACAAAAATCCTTCTGAAATAAAAGAAAATCAGGTGTGACAGTTAAAGCAGAATTTGGGCCACTGACCTTTCTGAACCACCATTACAATATTTTCAAGTTTGAATTTAAAATTCTCTTATATATTTTTAAGTTATTTTAGTGAGTTCAAGGCAGAATATAAATAAATTCTGCTTCTCAGCACTTCAATGGGAACCCAGGCTGTAACTCCTTATTGAAGTACGAAAATTTCTCTCATCTGGTTGCTAAGCTCAGTTTATCTCACTAGTCTCATTTGCTTTCTCAGTACCTTATTTTTCATGAATTTGGAATGACTACGGTACACCTCCATTTGCTTCATTTCCTCTTCACGTTCTTCTGTGCTCAGAGCTCCATTTGACTTCAACATCTGAATCTCCTCTTCCAAATCCCGGAGGCCACGCTCCATGGAAGAAATTTTTGAATCCTGAAAATGGTTAGAAGAGAAAGATAAAGATACACAGTCAGATGATTTGTTAACATACCACTGGAGTAAAAAATAAAGGAAATAGTTTGTTGGATATGTACCTGCCCTTGCAATTTACTCCTGAAGTTCCTAAAGAAATCAGCCTACACCTCTTTACAGAGCATCTGGCTGAGTGCTCAGGTACTCATTTTTCAGTATTTTATACCTTCCAAGGGAAGCAAGAGTTTAGTACTGAAAGAAAACACAGCTAGAGGCATGGACTCAGTATATAATAAATAAAGAAACAGAAGGAAAGGTTGCCTTGTAATGCGAAGCCAGTATAAACCAGAGAAATTTAATTCTAACTGAATGAACAGGCACAGCAAAATGTGACTGCAAGAATGACAAAAAAATGGGTTTGTGCTACTAGTGATTTAAGTGGAATCACAAATTGAGAACATAAAAAGCACCATAAGCAAAAAAAAGATGCAATAATCTAGTTTTGGATGGACAATTAGCTTTGAGGGGATAAAGCAGTAGAGGATCCTTCAAGTATTCTGGCTCATATATACAACATATAAAAAATTTCCATAGATTAAAAAAAACATACATCTGAAAAAATAAAAAAGTCAATCTACCATTATCCTCATAGTTTTGCAGGACGATCAGAGGTTTTCAATCTACTTGGTTTACTGCTGCTTTAGAAGTTTTATGTGTTAGGAACAGCAAGAACAGACTCATGCAGCACAAAGAGCTTCACACATGCTCATGAACACAGATATGTATTTCTAAGTTGTAGTCTCTTCAAGCAGATTATTTTTTATTTAATTTTTTAAAATATTTAGTCTTTCCTGAAATACAGGTAGGATTTGAAACTATGCTTCATTCTTTCATAGCCCAAGCCTTCATTTTTTTGGTGTTGAATAATCAAAGCACAGCTGAAAAGAAACAAAAGCCTGAAAAGATTTTAATGTATAGGTTTTCACTCATGAGGTAAGATTTTTCTAAAGGACCATCATGAAGATATAGTCGGATCTCCCGCCTAAGTTTTGATGCTTAAGTTAAAATCAGTAAAGCAGGCTTATGCAACAAAAATCTAGAGAAGTGGTAAGGTGAAGTATTATGTTCTAATTTACAGCACTATTTCGTTTCAGCGTTCACATCACTGCCCAGAAGTAACAGTGCTTCTCTTTTGATAGTAAAGACAGCTTATTGTTACCAGATGGTCAATTAGTTTTCATTACTATGGACCACAAAGCTGACTAATAAAAGAAAGAAGGCAAATGAATGCCTCCAGGGTAGAAAGATGGGAAATGACTATGGAAAACATTTAGATGGAATGGAAAGAGTTGGAAGGGAAAAAAGGAAGGAAAATAAAAGAAAAACATAGATAAAGAGATAGATAAAAAAGATAGATAAAGGAGGGAGATAGGGGAGATATGAAAATGGAAGAGACTAGTTTGCAAATATAGTTTCTATTTTTTAACTGTATTTGCCCAAACCCTGTCTCAGGTACTTTATAGACCATACAGTATGAATCACGACTGCATAAAGCTGTGTAAACCACAGACTCCACTTGTGGCTTTGAAGCTCTTGGCAAATTGCCATTGTTCCATTAGATATCTGAGAATTCAATCACAAAGATGTCTAGAAAAGTTAGGTTTAGGATGACATAAAGACATATTCCTAGCTACATGACCCATTTTAAGTGGGTTTTCAGTTTGCAAATGGCTAATTTTGTTGATACACAGAATGCAAAGCAGTATTTTGAATGTTGACATTATAAAAAGAAAATAACCCACATCATTACAAAGACCTACTAATCCATCATTTCCAACCTTGTAATGCAACAGACTCCTGCCTAACTGAAATAAAACTACATGCTGCTGCAGGAAGACAGAAGGCAGGTTTCTATTGCGTCACGAAGCAGATCTGTCTCTTCATTCATCAATAATAAAAATAATAGATAAAAACCAGTATTAAAATATACTTGTTTTAAATGAGAAGATGGACAGAACTAGATGGTATTTGGTAGAGTCACCTTTCATATGAAAAACCTGTTTTTCAGAGAACAAACCCTACTGATGCCTATATGCAATTATTTACCTTCATCTCAATGACAGTTTGCAGAGCTTTTGTCTTGGCTGTGTCAGGAGCATTTTCAAATCGACGATGAATCTCCTGTAACAGCAGAAAAGAAAGCAAGAATTAGCCTAATGGCACTTTGTCCCACTTACCAAACACAAACAAAATTATTATCAGCTTCTCTTTCTAACACATAGCACAGCTACGTATTAGAAAGAAAAAAAAAAAGGAGAAACCCCCCCAAAACCAAACCTGTTTTCCCTAACTTCAAAATTCATGTACCTGAAAACAGAACAATTCTGAAGATGATTCTTTAAGCTTAAAAAGGTGAAGATCCAAGAGTGAAAAGTATCCTATTCTGAAGTGCCCGAGTTTCTGCTAAATGCAGTAAGTTTTATCTCCAGCTGTACCTGTCGCATCAGTTGTACAGCCATCTAAGACTGTTATTGTAGAATAAAATGAAACAGCTTGATAAAAGAAACTAAAACAAATTCTTGTTAACTTTTAGAAACTGAGTAAACAAAAGATAAGAAGGTCAAAAAATAACATGCCAAAAGTCTATTTTGAATAACGTTATTTATAGAACCATAGAATCTTTTAGGTTGGAAAAGACCCTTTATTTTAGTAGTGCAATTACATATTATATAATTTTCACTTGTGCAGACATGGTCTCTGACCTGAGAACATAAAAGCAATTGCTACTAGAGAAATGAAATAAATGGAATACACAGCAGGAGAACAGCATGTCACTAAAGAGATGCTGACACAACAGTGTCTGCTTCTTACATTGCACAGTGTTTTCCCAAATAGAAAATTATTCTAAGCTTTTTCTTTGGAAATGTCTGTATCCCCACTGTCTGAAGTGATGCCTGGCACTTCGACAAAGGAAATGTCCTACTTCTATCATCTTAACTAATTCCATTGTGATTTGGATGACATAACCTGCTAAAAACAACACCTCCCACCTCTTGACTGCACAGTAAGGACTTAATTTTGGCAACATGCCTATGATTCTAAACAGCCTGAAAACAGGGCTACTGGCAGACTGAACCTCGTTAAAACACATATTTAGGTGCGGCTGCTGAATCCAATGCATAGATATCCTTCTTAATTGTGAAATACAGGTTACGTACTTATCTTTCAGTGGCAGAATGGAGAAATACCAATATTTCATACCTCTGATATATTCATATTATATTGAGGACACGCACCACACAGGTGAATGAAAATTCAGGACTTTGCACAATAATTAAAAATGTAGGGCCACACACAAATATCAGAATCAGAAAACCACAAAAACACCCTTTCATTCCTTGCAAGTCTTGCTTTCTGATAAAGGAACAAAGCATTATTCCTTTCTTCTACTTTCACACATAAAAAACTTTCACATGTAATTGATACTGTTCTGTAACAGATTAGTAAACTTCAGCATCTTCTTACTTTTTAATGGAACTGAAATTATTTTAACAAGGGTGGCTCAAATATATATATATATATATATATATAGTGTTTTAATGATACGTTCAGTAATTCCTTTACTTCAAAAAAAGGTAACAAAGAAGAGAAAAAACCTATTTGTTCCCCAGTTATGTGCATCAAGCATGCTTTTCACTGCTAATTATCATTGCTAATAAAAATACACCATATTTGTTTCTCAGTCTAGCCACTGGGAACTTCTAGCCACCAGATATCATCACAACATTGTCAAGAATATTGAAGAATGCTCTATAATCCCTTTTTTGTTCCCAGTTTTATGCTTTAATACCTCATTATTACAAGCTAGTAGTTTCTACAATTCTTTGACATGAACAAGAAAAGCTGCAGGTGGAAGGACACCTAGTTACCCGTTTGGCACTAGTGCTACCACTACAGTTATACTGTGGCCTCTCTGTCTATAGTTTCAAAATGATATTGATATACCGAAGAGAGTTCAAAGAATGACTGCAGGAGCCTAATTTAGGGTGGATAAAGGAGGAACCAAAACAAATTTATCGGGCAAACTGATCACAACTTTAAAGTACTTTCACAGGCAACAAAAACTGAAAACGGGTTGTTCTGTCGCAAACCCCTTTTAAGATTCAGTAACTAGAAACTGAAGGCTAGAAACAGAAGTTTTAAACAATGGGCCCACCTTAACCACAGCTGGAGTTGATATTTCACCACTGTCAATTTGTAACCAAGAATAGCTATCTTCCTTTAAGAACAAGGCAAAACAAAACCCTACTTCAAAACCAAACATAAACTAAAGGTGTGAATCATATTACACCTGCCAAGTAGGTCTGCAAGGGGCCACAGTACCCCTATGAGAAACAATACTGTAATTTTCTAGTCAGCATAACTACACAGAACAGGTGATCAAACATACTAAGAACATTGAATATGTAAAGAATAGCTGTGATAGAGTGATTCTAATGCACTATAAATAACAACGAAGTCTCTGGGGATTTTTCTTGACTAACGAACACCAAAATAATTGAAAATGAGAGAACATAGTTTAGAATTGAGAGAGTCCTCAATACTGATCAGTATCAGCACTATTTCTTAAAAATATTAATAAATTGTACACATACATAGTAATGAGGGGAGGAATCTTATCAGAAACATTTTCTTCCTTCGTAACCTGGCCATATTATTAATTTTTATTCCCACAGTTATTCCTGCCATTGATTTTGCATGGGATTTAGAATAAATGTTAAGGTGTGCTTTTTAAGCAATGGCGTTTTTACAGTGGAGTAATGTGCTTAAAAATACAGCAACTTATCTCTCAGTAGCACCACAAGATAAGCACTTTCCAAAGCAAAAAAAAAGACATGCCTTCCATTTCCTGCAAAACCTACATAATGAGGAAGCACGTACCACACTGAAAATAGAAAAATATCTCTTGTATATTAATTAAAAAAAAAGAAAAAAAGAGAGACAAAAAAATATGTGCAACTAAAACCAGAGCTGTAATCCTGATTTTTTTAATCTTAACTGGCATACCTATTTAATTGCAACAATATGTAAATGGTATAAACAAAGTAAAATTTCACAAGCATCCTTCAGTTCAATGTTAACTCTCATTATTAATTTTAGAAATTATTTAATAGATCTATAAGATCTATTCAATTTTTAATTGTGGTTAAGGACTAATCATATGTGACTAACCTGATCTTCTTTTACAGTGAAGTAAATGACTGGTTAAATGGTGAACAGTGGGTGTTGCATGTCCTTCAGCATAGCTTTCAGACATCTCTGAGACCAAATTGGTAAGATACAGACTGAATGACTGGTTAAAAGGTGGGTGGACAATTAGCTGGACTGTCAGGCTCAAAGCCTGGTGATCAGCATTATGAAGTCCAACGTGTGTAGCTGCTTGCTACTGACAACCCTCAGAGGTTGATACAGTGGCTAATACTGTTCAGGGTCCTATCATAGAACCTAGAATAGTTAGGGTTGGTAAGGACCTTAAGATCATCAAGTTCCAGCCCCCCTGCCATGGGCAGGGACACCTCACCCTAGACCATGTCACCAAAGGCTCTGTACAACCTGGCCTTGAACACTGCCATGGATGGACCATTCACAACCTCCCTGGGCAACCTATTCCAGTGCCTTACCACCCTTACAGTAAAGAATTTCCTCCTTATATCCAGTCTAAACTTCCCTTAAGTTTGAACCTGTTACCCCTTGCCCTATCACTAATGAAGAGTCCCTCCCCAGCATCCCTATAGGCCCCCTTCAGATACTGGAAGGCTGCTATGAGGTCTCCACGCAGCCTTCTCTTATCCAGGCTGAACAGCCCCAACTTTCTCAGCCTGTCTTCATACAGGAAGTGCTCCAGTCCCCTGATCATCGTCGTGGCCCTTCTGTGGACTTGTTCCAACAGTTCCATGTCCTTTTTATGCTGAGGACACCAGAACTGTACACGATACTCCAAGTGAGCCTTTATTAATTATCTGAAAGATGGGATAGATGGCACCTTCTGCAAGTTTTCAGATTACATGAAATTTGGGGAAGACGTGATCTGGAAATAAGCAATGTGCCCTTGCTGCTGTATAAAAAAAAGAGAAAACCAAGGAAAAGCAGTGGAAGAGCAGAGGATGAGAGAACTGAGTTTCTTCAGCTAAACAGAAGAGAAGGCTTGAGGGGATTCTCAAATGCCCTCTGTGGCTATCTGACTGGAAGCTGTAGATATGACGGAGACAAGAAGTCTTTTCAGAAGTGCACAGTAGAAGGATGACAGTCACCAGGCAAAAGTTGCAGCACAGAAAATTCTGAATCACTAATACAGTAAAGATTTTACCAGAGAGCAACCAAACACTGGACCAGGTGCCTAAAGTGGTTGTGAAATCCCCATTAATTGAAATTGCTGATTTGAGCAGAAGGTTGCATGTAGATGACCACTGGAAGAGCCCTTCAAAATGCGTGACTCGTTTATATAAATACCTACACTACCTGGGACCTGAAGGTGACTGGGTAGTACTGCTTAGCTTCAGCATTTTAACCAGTATTTATCAGAAAGTGCTCAATACGAGTAACTTAAAATTCTATTTCAGCTAAACATAAAACTGGACTTAAAATTTATGTATGAGTCCTGTATAATTTATCTCACCATTATTAGAGTTTTGCTATGTAACAAGAACACAGTTACACAAGTTTGGAACCAACAACCACAGTAGTTCCTTCAGAAATCATTTCTGTATTTTTCCTTTTGTCATTTCCTGCATTTGCAAACACAATCAACATAATTTCTTGAAAAATAAATTGATTATATTAATAAAGAGCATAACTTGGACAGATTTGTTGAAAATTGCACACACACGCAGGGTACCAGCTGCTCTAAAGCTCAGTTATCCCTGGGGAGAAAAATTCATCTCCATGGTTTGCAATTTTATGGATACCTTCTGACAGTGATTTCTAAATCCAACCAAAACCTCGTATATTAGCAGACTTAAGTTTGTTAACAGAGGAATCATCTAAAGTGAAAATTAAAACACAGCTTCCAGTTCACCTCAGTATTCAAATCAGAAAGAGATAAAAGCAAAATCCCTCAAAACTTCAGCATTAGAGTCAAGGCAAGATAAAGATGAGAGACCAAACCATCATATTAGTTTTAA